CGTGACACCGTCGCTACTTTTAGACTGATAAACAAAAATGGCGTCAAGAAAACGAGGTAGGCCGTACAAATCACTTTTGAAATGAATGGCACACGCCTAACTCTTAAAGATACTTATCTTTTAAAGCAACCAGTATAAACCATCTACTCTGTTATGAGATTATATCAACCTTTCATCCATAATCGTAGTCAAAATGCAACGTACCTCGTCGTCTATGATTTCCCGCGGACATGCGTGTCTATATACTTTTTACGCACTTCCTTTATCAATATTCATGAAAAGACTGATTTTTCAATATTGCAGATCTTGCTTGATTGTTTTGTAATTACGACTTACTTAGTAAAACTTTGTGGAAAGTATTATTTTTTCATTACACATCATGTTTCTCAAACCATTTAATCATTTTGTTTCACATAAAAAAATCGGCGTTTATATAGCGTGTATTTCTTTCAGTATTGAGATGTTCAAATACATGTATATAAGTGGTCCCAGCCTATCCCCCCCCCCCCCTCGGGGAAGGGACAGAGGAGGGGCATGATTTGAACAAACTTGAATCTACAATAACTAAGGATTCTTCCATATTTATATGACTATAATCATGGCTTTAAAAGATTTTTAAGAATTTTCTCTATACATTCCTATGAGAAACTTTGATCTCCAATTGTGGCCCCACCCTTCCCCCAAGGGTCATGATTTGAAGAAACTTGAATGTACACTAATTGAGGATGATTACAAATATATGACTAATCATGGCTTTGCTGTTCTTAAGAAGAAGATTTTTAAAGATTTTACCTATGTATTCCCATGTAAAACTTTGATCGTCCATTGTGGCCCCACCCTACCCCCTGGATTCATAATTTGAACAAAATTGAATCTACACTATGTAATGAAGCTTTCAAGTAAGTGTCATCTTTTCTGGTCCAGTAGTTATTGAGAAGAAGATTTTTCACAGATGCTATTAAATTTTCACTAAATCTTATTTATCTCGTGGCCCTTCATTTGAAGAAACTTCTAAAGATCCCCTTTATCCAAGGATGCTTTATGGCAAGTTTTGTTGAAAATGGCCAGGTGGTTCTTGGAAAGAAGTCGGATATGTGAAAAGTTTACAGACGACAGACGGACGCCGGGACACCCTTCGATCAGAAAAGTTCACTTGAGCCTTCGGCTTAGGTGAACAAAAAATATACAAGGTACTGATATTCATCTGACTGATTTACATATACAAATGTATAAAGAAAAGTCAATTCTTGAAAAAATACGGGCCCAAGATGTGCGGCCCGATGGAATGACTTTAGAAACAAGTATAAGGAACGGGATTGTGAGTCGGCCAATGACGATTATAAGACATGCATTTGAAATAGCCTATTCAGAGATATGATGCATCCATCAAGGGAAGAAAGGCTCCCGACAAACATAATTCAGAAACTACATATACAAACAACATAGTGAGACATAAATTGACCACGGATTCAAACCACGTGACTGCAGCGTCAACATGACTGAGCAAAAAGGAAGGAGGACGGGTAACAAATCAAACAATAAAAGTCATCTCATTTTGTCTCCTTGAGCTATTTTTTTTCCCATTTTCCCTCTTATTATGTATATTCCACCCAACCCCCCAACCCCCAAAAAAATATAGATAATATCGAATTTCCTTCTCAATTCCATTTCTTTTTTTCTTCAATAAGTAAATTAAATCTAGCTTTGTTTTATCGCTTTCATCGTTTTCAGTTAGACTTAAATAAATAACTACATCTTAAAGTTTTTTTTTATAGCTGTATCATTGAGGCATTTCTATTGTCTGTTAAATTGTGACATTATTTGGTTTATCTACATGAGATCTTTTCAATCGTCAATTTCCCTTACTTATGCAGCAATATACCTTCATCACCTGCATATGGGGTTTATATCTCTCAGTTGATTCGATACGCAAGAGCATGCTCTACGTATGTACAATTTCTAAAACGAGGTAAATTATTGACAAACAAGTTGATGAAACAAGAATATCAGCAGTCTCGTTTAAAGTCATCATTTCGTAAGTTCTATGGTCGATACAATGACCTTGTCAGCAAATACAATTTATCATTGAGTCAAATGCTGACTGACGTTTTTCAAACTAATTGTTAGACCATTATTTACACACTGAATTGTCGACGGATTTTTCCGTTATTTCCCGATCATGACAAGGAGCAAACGGCGGGTGTGACCGGTCGGCAGGGGATGCTCACTCCTCCATGGCACCTGATCCCCCCTTTGATGTTTTGGAGGTCCGTGTTTGCTCTGCTCCTATTTTGTATTGTTTAATGGACTTTGAATACTGTTCGTTATCTCCATATATTTCATCTTCAATAAAACATCAACTACTGGAGATATAAAGGATTCCGGGTGCTCCTCAAGCTTTTTCTCCACAGTTCATTTCATGCTTTCGAAAACTCTCCTCCTATTTACAAGAAAAAGTCAAGGAAAGGGAAACAGACGGAGAAATTTGAAACGGTCAAAGGCTACTCACAAAAATGCATGGCAAAGGTTTAGAAACAATTAAGTGTAGACAATGGTATTACAATTGTGACTGCTATTGCATAAAACATTGACAGACAAGAAACCAAAGTTCTAGTTAAAAACCAAGCTCTCGGATAAGGAAACCAGTGAATAGAAAGTGGTTTAGAAAAGGTAATAACGAAGATGCAATACAAACACATATAGGTCTGGATTTGGCCTTCTCTGATCCTGAATATGGAGTGAAGACTATCAAACATCCTTCTGTAAATACTAGACTACTAGTATTATACATTTATTTCATGACTACAAGGGAAACAAATTGTTGTCCCAATCGAGCTTGTGAGGAAGACAACCTGGGAAACTGTTGCCCGAGGCCGAAGGCTAAGGACAACAATAGTTTCTCAGGTCTTCCCCGCCATCGAGAGACAACAGTTCAATGGCTATTTACCGAGTTGCCATGTTTTATTAACTGACCTACTATATAATTTCTTTGAGTAATAATTTAAGTAATATTTACATCCACTGAATATCATTTCCTTTATTTCTTATGAAAACCATTGCCGTTTGTCAGCCAGTAAACGCAATCTAGCAAATCACCTGCAAAGATTTCTGCAGCAACGGCTCTTTCATCATTTATGCATACAATGACATACACATCTATAATACGATATTTATCTCACTTAATTTCAGATATAAATATAAACAATAAAATGTCTTTTTTTTGTTTGTAAGTACGGGAATTAATGTCGTAGCTATTGCAGGAAAAAATTTACATAATCCGCTTACGCGGGTTATGTATTTTTTCTGCAACAGCTGCAACATTAATTCCCGTACTAACAACCAAAGAAAGCATTTTATTGTTTAAATAATTGAAACTACTTTGGGGTACTCCCTGAGCCAGATTGTTTTTATTAGTACTATTTTGGTGAGATCTGGTGTATTCTTGAAGTCATTGTTTTCAAATACTGAATAAAGGAAATCTAGCAACAATATTTTGAATATGAAAATGAATTAAATTTGTTTCAAAATTGATTATGTTTTCCGCGTTTTTACAAGGGGTGCGATCGCACCCAACGCACTACAACCCAACTACAAAACAGACGGCCTTGAAAAAAAAAACACTGAATGTGAAATTCAGAGGATCAATAAAAAGAGTAGAAATTGTGTTAATTAGGTTTAATTATACATTAAATAAAAATGGAAAGGAAAGAAGTCGATCACCTTCAATAATGTAACCTATACCAATAATTCTACCTTTCTAAAAGTACAGTAAACTTATATTTGCATGTACTTTAATTAAGTGGTAACATTTTCATGTAGTCTAATCAATGCTTCGTAAGTGTTTCTTAAGATCACATAGGGATGTTGATTTACCTTATCTTGTCGTTCATTAGCATCACCCCATAGTCCAATCTATCGTTTAAAATCTTCTGCTTACGACTTTTAAACCCATCTACACTAAAATCCTATAAATATAGCCAAAAGATTATCATAATTTCACAGAACAGTATATTTTTGATCTGGGAAATTAAGGACATACGCAACATGTATGTACATGTAGCTTACAACGTACCTTACCCATTGATAATTTTCTAAGATATTCTTCATTTAAAATCATTGTACCATCAAATGTAATCAGACAAAAAAAATTAGCAAACATTACCAGGATTTTTGCTTAGGGACTTGTCTTCCGGATTGTTAAATGTAAAATAAATTAATAAAATTTTGAATCTACTTAAAATACACTTAAAAGTTGTTAAAATAAGGATTATGAACCTTTCAGTCAAGAAAAACCACGTTTAAAAAAGACGTACCACACCTATATACATAAACTCTACAAGGGACAAAAGCTTTCACCTTGGAAAAAATACCCCCACCCACTTCAGCGCCTATTTCTGGACTCTAAAGCATTAATTTATTTCGTTGTCATGGTTCTGACCTCTATAGTGATGATTTTCCTAAATGTTGATGCGTTTGTCAAGTTCAAAAATGCGTTGCGTATATGTCCTTAGTTATACATGCATTTGGTTAAATAGATGATATTCCCCTATTGACCCTAGTGACCTTTAAGTCACATCAGAATCTCTTGATGTCTATAAAGTGAGTGAGAAAAATGACTGAAATATGTACTCATTATTTAAATTTGTCTGTCACATAAAGTGCTTTCGGGTTCCTCGATCCATTTCACCAAGGTAATTAACACTATACAGCATAAATATTACAGCAACCGTATCTCAGAAATGAGCAATTTAATTTTTTGACCTTGACCTTTGTTCAAGTGATACTCAAATGTTATTTCACATATGTAGTTAATATGAAGGCTCTAAGCTAAAAATACCGAAGTCGCATAAATGTGACATGATCATAGCAATGAAATCAACTTTTGACCAAGTGACTACACCACAAAATCGGATGTCTTCCTCTAATTAATGTCAGTAAAACACATGTGACGTGTTGACAAGAGACTGCTTTAAGGCGCCGTATTTCAATATATTTTCATCTTACTTACATGTAAGTTTATACAAGTGACTATACATCAATGGACCTGGATTGGACGGAGAAGGTGTATTAAACAAGGTACAAATTGAAAGTTCTAGATTCATACTTCTGAACAGAAATGATAAACATTGATTATTTCTTAAGCACTGTTCAGCACAGTGTCTCTTACTGAAAACACTAAAGGTTGCTATGAGGTTAGCGGGATCGGAATAAGTCGTGTTCTTCACTGTGAGACTAAAGAATCCATTTCGTTGATTAGGAAATCCAGAAATTGTCCTCGTGCATTGTGAAGTAGCCTCTGTGGTTACAGAGGGAGGCTGTGTAGTGTCTGGAACAGGGCAACCCGCTGACGGGGGAGGGAGACCTATAATTAATGTGAAAAAGATCTACACATGTGTATAAACATTTATTTTTTGAATCATCAGAACTAAATAAATGAAAGTGAGTAAGAAGGAGGAAAAATAAAGTAATAGTTTTCCTCTCTCACTCTCTCTCAATTCTTTTGTGTTATTTGGCTATTCTGACGTCTTTTAAAACATTTGATGTTATAAGATGTGAGTTAATCATAATGTATGTTATCCTGCTTAACCACTGAAAGACTTCAAATAACGGTTTATATCTTAGTAATTCATAGACATTTTTATTTGTTCTGTATAATCTCTAAGTAGTTATAATTATTGGTTAAATATAAAAATTGATGTTTCTCCATCACCTCATACCAGTCTTGTAGAGTAGGTTTTCCCTTCTAAAATCTCTCCCCCCTCCCGGAAAAGTGGCTCTAGAAAAGGGTTTCCCCAGGTAAAAAGGCTCCAGTAGGATTTCCCCCACAGAAAAAAAGACTCTAGAGTAGGATTTCCCCTACGAAAACCCCACGCCAGATTCAATTTTCCGGGGGGGGGGATCCTTCTCTGTGTAGTAGTTATAGAGTACGATTTCCCCCAGAGCCAATCCCCCATAAAATATAATGGCTATACTAATGTTATGAGGGGGAAGGGGAGCGACACATTGTTACAAGTGTCCTTTCTTCAAAATGGTGACCAGATGTATGTGAACATACGAAGAATGAAAACTGAAAATTTTAAATCTCTTTTTTTTCAGCAACCGTTCAACCAATTTTTTAAAAGCATCTTTTAATCTGCTCAAATTGGTTTCTGAAAAAAAGGTACAATGTTATTCGATCGGACAAATTTTTACTGTATCCATAGAAACAAAAAGGAATTTTGTTTAAATAGATTGTTTCCCTCCTATTGTATTCTACTTTAAATCTATTCATTACTTTCAAATGAAAATAGAATAAACAACAACTTGCACTAGTTATGCCCCCGTAATCGAAGATTTAAATTGCCCATAACTTTTGATTGGTTGAAGCTATATGGCTTTCATATTTCTAATGCGTATTCATTGTGACAAGATCTTTCTTTGGGTAACATCATATTTGAACTTTTGACTTGACGTTGGAGTTTGACCCAGTTTTGCAAAATTTTACCCAATTTTAACCTTTGCCATAACTTTTGAACAACTGATTCTAGTGCTTTCATACTTCACATGTATAATCCTGTGGCAAGACATTCCTTTGGATATCAACAACTTTGACCCTTTGACCTTGACCAAGGAGTTTGACCTACTTTTGAAAAACTTTAACCTTGGCCATAACTTTTGAACGGTTGGTGCTAGGGCTTTCATACTTCACATGTGTAATTCTTGAGACAAGACCTTTCTTTGGATACCAACAATTTTGACCCTTTGACCTTGACCTAGGAGTGTGACCTACTTTTGAAAAACTTTAACCTTGGCCCTAACTTTTGAACAGTTGGTGCTAGGACTTTCATACTTCACATATGTAATCCTTGTGAGAAGACCTTCCTTTGGATACCAACGACTTTGACCCTTTGACCTTGATCTTGGAGTTTGACCTCCTTTTGTAAAACTTTAACCTTGGCCCTAACTTTTGAACGGTTGGTGCTAGGGTTTTCATATTTCACATGTGTATTTCTTGTGAGAAGGTTTTTCCTTGGCCACCATTAATTTTGACCATTTGACCTTGACCTTGATGCTTGACTTACTTTTGAAAAACTTTAACCTTCTCCATATCTATTCAATTGTTGCTGCTGGGGCTTTCATATATCACAGGTATATTCCTCGAGACAAGACCTTACTTTGGGAACTAACATATTTGATTTGCATCTGAGAAAGTTTAACCTTCGCTATAAGTTGCCATACGGGGGCATCAATGTTTCACAAACACATCTTGTTTGACAAAGCAACGACACGCAGCAGCTTTATTATATTGAAAGTCCATAATTATATACATTTATATCATAAAGTCGGATTGAATAAATAATATAGATAAAATTTTAACTTTTGTGTGCTCTATGTATCGTCCTAAACTGGTAATTAAACACTTATTCACCTCTTATAAAGCCTTGCCAACGAGACCATTCTAGAGAACCACGTGATCTTAACCAGATATTCGAATGAAAACCTTGTAATTCCGAATACAATGGAATAAGTAATTCGTTATAACAGTAAGTAAAAATTTCTGTCTAATTCGTTCCTCAAACGAAGAAATCATATTTTCAAACTACATGTACATAATATTGATGTTGAGGATCTCTCCAAAATTTTGTTGTTTAAGGTAGTCCGATCCTCAGGTTCTGAAAATCAGCTTTTAAGTAATTGAAAATGCTCACAGAAATGTTTCGATTTCACAGAGTAACGTGAATTAACCCATGGTATTTCTTCAAAGTTCATCATTACAATTAATCATATTAAAAAGGTGAAATTATCAAATCTCAAATATATTTTCAGGAAATGCGAATTAAAACACCAGCTATGCATTTTGTAATTGAAAATTGATCGAAAAATATATTTTAAGATTAAAAAAATATAGGTAACAAGCATTTGGAGAAAATTGCATCTTTTTTATGCTTATACAGTATATTAGTTCTTCTATTTACTTTAATTTTCATGTAATATTTCGTGTAAAAAGCTTGTGCTATCAATGCTAGACATCACATATCAAGTCTAATTTCATATCCTGCGAATAAGCATTGGTATCTAATGCTAGATTAAAGGAAATTTGATTTCTCTAAAAATGAATTTATTTTTTTTCTTTTTATGGGGTACAAATATCAACTTTTTACAAAACCATTTCTAAGACATCAAATGACCTTGAATCATATTGAGATGCATAAAATGAAAATTGTTGCACGAAAAGATCTCAATTTCAAGTTTCATTTTGAGACTTAAATAAAATAATAAATTTAAGAGTTATCCTTCCTGGCTGAAGATCAGATAAATATCTGAAATAGCTGCCGTTGCCAAGGAACTAAAAATGGGTCATTTATCTCTAAATATTTGGAATTTTTCAAATCTTTTAAAAGAGTATATGCTCTCTGCTTTCAAATCCAGTATTACCTCGCTGGGGTCAACGGAACACATGCTTCGGCTTCCAAAAGAAGTGTTTCTTGTATTGTTTTCAGTTTTGGCCTTTTTTTCTTTGAAGAACTACTCCATTTAAATACTCACAAAATGATATGTGGAACTTATCAATAACATGAATTTAAGAATTTTCACTCTTTATGAAAATGATGGATCCATAGATGAAATACTGGGCCTTTAGAAAGCAAACAAATTATCAAATCAATAAAGGTGCCCTGATATACATTTAGAATTCGTAAGCAAACACGTACCACTGCGCTGAGAGATGGTGTTGAGACATTGAGTATTACGATTTTTTGAGTTACTAATTTTACAATTTCCCATAAGTTCAAATTTTGGGTGGAAACTCGATGATTTGAAATATATGCTTAGAAAATGCTTACTACAATAACAGCATATAAGTCGAAAACACTCATTTACCATTCAAAAATCAGTTTGTCGTTTATCTTGACAAAACATCGTTATCTTTAACAAAAATATTGCGGCTGTGGTTTATATTGACTCTATAACGAGGGGCAAAATTCTACTCTCAGAAAGAAAGAGGGGGGAAATTTGACTCTGGTGTAAGATTTCCCCTGGGGGAGATATCCTACTCTAGAGTAAAATTTCCGGGGGGGGGGGGGGGGGGGAGTGGCTATGGGGCAGAAATCCTACTTTACAACACCGGTAATCAACATTTACGCAATTTAGGTTTGGGGACTGAAGAGATACAACTGCACGCATTGCTTATAAATCATAAATTTTGCTCACCTGATACTGAAGAGGGTGACTGGCATTGATTTTCAATGTCCGTTACATCATTAGCTGTATTTGTTGTGACGTCATACATTGTGAAACAGGTAACTTCTAACGATAACGCCATAGTCGTGTCGTGCTTCGCTCCGATTCGAAAAGTTCCTGGCAATCCCAAAATTTTAGAGCCATGTATATCAGAAGCTAAAATAGTTTCACCACTGAGGCTAGAAATAAACTTCATCTTTGTATTATCAAAGTCTCTTCCCGCTTGCACCACAAACCATTGACCTTGGAACATAGACGGCGATAGGAAAGTACTTGATATTCCTGCAGATGATATTGCCTCCATTTGAAGTGAAGTACCATTAACACAAACACGGACTTCGAGAATGACGTTAGATGCCGTTGTCGAGGACTTGAAATGAAATATACATCCAACTAAACCAGAAATATTAACTGACAACGAGAAAGAAAACGATTTAAACTCGTTACTGTTGTCAATGTCAATGTCTATGTAGGGATATGTGTAACCATTTAACTGTAGTGGGGTTCCTGCAAACGAGGGATGGTCACCCTCGAAGTGGAATCCACACTGATTGTAGTCTCCAGCTTTGGAATTCTTTATTTCGTAGGTATATGTAGAGTCAATCAATGGCCATACGTATTTTGCTGAACTGAAACCCAGTGTTGGAACCACTACAAAGAAAATGCTGAATATTGAAAATCAAAATATAGATGAAATATAACATGTTCTTAGATATATTATCTCACGTGTATTTTTTGCTAAATTTACTTGAAATAGATAAACGAGAGATCAAGTACTTTAGTACTATGGACATGATCACATGTCAAAACCCGCCCAAGGAATGTTCGTAAATTGTTTTCCCTCCATTACTTTTATTTAAAGATTGTTTTACTCGACACATCCAAAAATGAGGTCAAGTAATACTTGTGTGTGTGTGTGTATATATATATATATATATATATATATATATATATATATATATATATATATATATATATATATATATATATATATATATATATATATATATATATATATATATAACATTTTTGAAGAAGTTTTCCCATTATATCACAAATATGATATTTTTATCCATATGCCCTGAAAAACTGCTGAATCACGCCGGATATAGTTATATTACACCGGAAACAGTTATATTGCCCTCCCGAACACCGTTATATTCCCTCGCGTGCAGTCATTCTGCATATTAATTAAGTCGGGTTCGAAATTCACAGAGGCAGTTGCTAAGCAAACGTAAACAGTTCCGCGAAAATGAAAATGTCTTGACAACGTCTGCGTTTTTTTATGTTCATTTAAATTCAGAGGAACTAGATAGATTGAGGAGAAATTTCCGTAAATACAACAAAATTTATAAACACAAATGTCAGCGTGCTGAAAACGTTCTGCAATGAAACAAGACGGAATATTTCGGAATTATTCATAAAGCCTATTAAAGGAAGAGAAATCGGCCTTCATAACTTTCAGCCGTCCCCCGTTATCATTTTAACAACAATAGTGTTAATGATCCTTAGCATTATTATCGAAACTATTAGTACCCACCAATCAGCTAAATGTATTTAAAAAAAAATTTGCATGTTTTTTTCTAGATATTTACACAGGTCCACATATAGTCGTCAATAAATATGTCCGATTTTGAATTTTTAAAAATGTTATATACCATATATTACATGACTTCTCGGGTAACAATACCAGAATATTTGCCCCTCGGTAACAGGAAAGCCCTGGAGTGTTATGTCGCCCTCTGCCTTCGCCCGTTATGCAAATTATATCCACGTTTCCAACTATCGTTGATGCCCTGGCATACTCTACTAACTAGACAGTGATTCCTTAATATATATATATATATATATATATATATATATATATATATATATATATATATATATATATATATATATATATATATATATATATATATATATAGGTGGTCACGTTTCTTTATTCTAGTATCCAAGACAACACTTGATTGTATGCCATTAGCATGCACTCAAATTAAAATAAGAGCATTGGAAAAGCTGTCTGCTTCTGGCATATTGTTTTAGAGAGAGAGGTATACCTTCTAACAATATTCCAAAGATGGTTAAACTGCATATTTTCTTCATTCTTCAAAAAGTGTTTTCTGAAAAAAAAAAGGAAAACAGTTTAGGGAAACAATGTGGGGGAAAATGTTTTTTGTTTTTTGTTTGTTTTTGATGATGATGATCGATGATCCACTCAGGTCAAATGATACAAGGAAGCATATCAAAGAATTTAATTTCAATTAGATTGAATTTGTTTCAATCTAATTAAAATTAGATCTTTGATCCGCTCCAACTAGATCGTTACACTTTGTGTAGCGATCTAATTGGAGCGGATCAAAGATCTTATTTTGATTAGATTGAATTTGTTTGGTCTACTTACGAACAGATACCCCCAACCCCAACCCCCCAAAAAGTTAGAAAATCTGGTATTTTTTTTCTATTACCCAGTATCTCTTTAACAGTAAAAATACTCATGTGATACTCACAAAATTAAGTATTCTAAAACATGTTTTTACTGAAAGAATTTGAGTTGACAAATTTCTGTCATAAAAATCAGAAATATGATGAATTTTAAAGACACTTGCGCGAAATCTATTTAAAAATGTTCATTTAAACTTTACTGGTCAAAGAGCTTATTCAGTAGTAAGGTGTCCGTCGTTCGTCGGTCCATCTGTTTGTTTGTAAACAATTTTTAGAAATACTACTCCTCCTACAGTTTTACCTTCAGTAAAACTTGATACATACATAGATCACAGTATGCATAATTTTGAATATCGGCTTTTGATTTCAACGAACAATGATGTCATGGTTACTAAAAAAAAAATCTGTGATTTTTTTTCTTCATCAAAAAACTACTTCTGAAATCTCCAACGATTTTTAGCTGATTTCAATAAAACTAGTACATAAATAGACTACATTTAGATTCATAACTGTATTTGATTTTGACAGACTGTATTGCCATGGTTTTACAAATAGAAATTTCTGTGAAATTCTTTCAAAACGCTTTTTTCCTACAGTTTTGGTCGGATTTCAACAAGCATTCTGAGAGTATTGCATTAGAAATACTAGTCCCATGCCGGCAAGTGTAATCTGATTCCCGTTAAAAAATGAAATACCATAATTGTATAAAAAATGAATGAAGTGGAAGGAAATACAAACTTGATCTATAACTCATCAAGGTTAAAAATCAGCTTAATATCTGCAAGCGTTTAGGGAAAAAAAATGCGGAAAAACCTGAAAAATTGAAAAGGTCGTAATTCCGTCAAAAATCACTGAAGCGGAACGAAATGCAAACTGATCTGTAACTTATCAAGATACACTCACATACCAAAAATCAGCTCAATATCTGCAAGCGTTGAGAAAAAAAGTGCGGAAAACCAGGTTTGACAGACAGACAGAGGGACAGACAGACGGACAGACTCAGAGGAAACTTATAGTCCCCTCCGGTTTCACCGGTAGGGGACTAATAAAACTTGGAACACAAGTAAATTACACCAAGATACATAATTCTTTGAATCCGTTTGCTGACTAATTATTAATTAATTAAAAAATAGAAATTTCTGTGATTTTTTTTCAAAACTCTTCTTTTTACAGATTTGGTCTTGTTACATTAAAACTTGGAACACAGGTACATACCTCACCAAGATTTCATGAATTCATTATCGAAAAATCCTGGAGATATTAATACGATCAGATTAAACGAACTGGATAGTCGCGCTTTGGTGCTTCTTCTTCTTCTTTTTTTTTTTTAACATTTCTGCATTTTCTGGATCTATGGGGAATTGTCGGGGTAGCCAAACTGCATGTTAATTAAGAAATAAAGTACCTTATAACCTTTTTTTGTTTTAATTTTGCCAAGGTCATAGAGATCAATAATATTGATGGCCTTAGAAAGTAATAAAAAAAATCAACTAACAGAGTCCAACCGAATCATATTACAGTGTATTAGAAAATTTGTTAGTAGTAGAACATGTTTGTTTTGTTTTGTTTTGTTTTTTTTTTTACCTCGATAAATTTATATCTGAACAATCTCCTAAAAAGGTATTAAATATTGATCCGGGTTTCCTGTATACCCCAGTACTTTAGATACGACATAGGAGTATTTTTCCTATAGAAGTACACTTTAATTCACTGAAAGTACAAGTATTTATGTTATAATTAGCCGCATTCAAGGTTTATTATAAATCTGAAAAATGTTTTAATGTCTTGCACTATACAGGTCCTCCAAGAATATTCTTCATGAAATTAAAAGAACAAACAATCCGGCCACTTTTTATATATGAAAATAAAAAAATAGTTAAATTGTGATAGTTTGTGCCTTGTTCAAAATCAGTGTTGATTTCAAAATACACAAAGACCAAAATAAGTTGAGAAATTGTTCCCTTTTGAAGAATTCTTATGTGTGGATTTTAATTACTGGTATCAGGACCCCGTTTTACAAAAGAATTTACGACTAAAACTAAAATATGTTTTGAAATTTACATTCTATTCTACACAAATGTAAAAATGGTTTCATAATTTTTTCAAGAATTTAGAAAGCTATTTTGATGCAATCAATTTTAAACAGAATCATGTACTTCGCAAGAATTTACAACCAACTTAAGTATTTGATCTTTTGTAAAACGGCACTAGATTTTATATACTTTCTCCTTTGATACAAAGAGTGTAAACGAACCTATCTTGATTTTCACTCCGATGTGTCCAACACTTACCTATACATGGGCTTTTCGTTTGCATTCAAGCAACTTCAAATTGATAACAAAAAATCAATAAAACCGAGGAGAAAGGAAAATTTACAGGCTCTGACCTTTCTGAGACCTTTGTTTGTGCTATTATATCAATTAAAACCATTTTTTTTAAACTACTTAGAGATGTTTGATAATGAACAGTTGTCTTGTTCTCAGCTTCATCCACAAAAAGAGCCCTCAACTCAGCTTGACCTTCCATTTCAAACCTCTCAAAACTTTCTTAAAAATCTTATCTATAGATTATTGGTGGATGTAAAAAAAAAATTAGATCGAGGTAAAAAGCAAACCTCTCATCTCTCACTGTTAACACCCCGAAATCTAACAAGCATTCTGAGAGTATTGCATTAGAAATACTAGTCCCCTACCGGCAAGTGTAAACTGGTTCCCGTTAAAAATTGAAAATGTCATAATTCCGTCAAAAATCAATAGCGGAACGAAATGCAAACTTGATCTATAACTGATCAAGGTAAAGTCACATGCCAAAAATTAGCTCAATATCTGCAAGCGTTTAGAAGAAAATTGCGGAAAACCCTTACAATTTGAAAAGGTCGTAATTCCGTCAAAAATCAATGAAGAAAAACGAAATGCAAACTTGATCTGTGACTCTTCAAGATACACTCACATACCAAAAATCAGCTCAATATCTGCAAGCGTTTAGGAAAAGAGTGCGGAAACCGGAAAACCAAGTGGGACAGACAGACAGACGGACGGACAGACGCAGAGGAAACCTATAGTCCCCTCCGGTTTCACCGGTAGGGGACCAATAAATTCCCTCTTTCTCGGGAAACACTTTCTCCTAAATCTTATTGAAATTTTAGGACATCATGCCGGTAGATAAACGTGGATGAACCCACAACTTCCCATTAAGTTATTTTCCAATATACTTTTTAATTTCATACAAATG